AGACAAGAGGTAGTTCCTGTAAAATGACTGCACCTCAGAGACACTCACTAAATAGGATGAGTGTTAGCTCCGTTCAGGGAGGCACCTTGAGAAGCAGCCATTGAGCTAAGGAAGGGCTCCTTCATCTTCCCCTTATTCTGAGTCTGGAGTGGGATTCTTTGCCTTGTGACTTCAGTTCTAACTCCAGTTTAGGGCAGCCCTGGAGGCCAGCAGCTGCCCACAGATGTGGCCAAGCCTGCAGTCCATGCCCAGGGTTGTACCAGAAACAGAGAGTTGGGTGGGCCTCCTGGTGGTGCAAGGGGTTAAGCACCACACTATGAAGCAATCCACAGCCTTTGCAGCACGAGTTTGATCCCCGGCCAGGGAGCAACCCACATGGCGCAGCAGACCTCTCCTGTCTTGCCCGCTGCTCCCCTCAGCAGTGTTTTTCGTCAGTCTGCCTGTTCTGTTCCCTGCTCTGTCTCTGGTGAATCCTCTCACCCCCCGCATCTCTGGCCTGTACCCCAGTTCTTGTATGCATAAATAAATATTTTTTTTTAAAGAAAGAAACAGAGTGGGGGGCTTGGAGGAAGGGGAGAGTTAGGGAGCTGAGGAGCAGGGGTGGGCAAGGAGGGGCAGGGAAGGACCATGAGGGTCTCCTCAGTTGAGGCTGAGTCAGCCATCCTGCCCAGCACACACTTTGTAGTCTAGAGGGAGGCCAGGACCTTCTCCCACCTTCCATAGGTAGTAGTGTAAATTCCATTCACAGCTTGATATCGTCCCTCTATTTCCCTTTCATTCAAAGATCCTTTTTAAAAAAGGGAAGGAGTAGGATTAAAACAAGGGGGGTGGGAATTGTATGGGGACTATAACTAAGATGAAAATGCATATATTGTGGACCTCCCCGGTGGCGCAGCGGTTGAGCGCTGGTTGCGCAGGTTCGATCCCCGGCTGCTCCCCGGCCACCGGAGGAAGGTCCCACATGGCGCAGACCTCTCCTGCCGCCCACTGCTCCCCTCAGCAGTGTACTTCAGTCCTTCTGCCTGCTCTGCTCCCTGCTCTGGCTCTGGTGAATTCTCTCACCCTCCCGTGCTGCTGACTGTACCCCAGTGCTTGTATAAATAAATAAATCTTTAAAAAAAAAATGCATACATTGTGCAAAAGTGAAAAATGATGTAAAAATATATAAAATTAAAAAAAATAAAAATAAAAAAAGGTAGAACTTTTGAAAGAGGATGTTTTTTAACAAGTTCTACCTTTCCAAATAACATAAAATAAAAACACAGGCCCTTCAAGTCACTGGCTTATTCATCTCTTCCACTCCTTAACTCCTGGCAGTCATGGAGCTCTTTTTTTTCTTAACAAGTCCTTTGATTTTTTTTTTCATATTATTATTACTAAAAAAAAATATATATGGACAATGATTTTCTGCTCTTCACTAAGAAACAAACACCTGATACTGTCCGACATGGTCACACACAGGGAGTTGCATAGGCCCTGCTGACGTGGTTTTGGTCTTGATTTTAGTTTTTCCCTTTAGCCTCATAGAATCTTAAATCTCACAGCACGAATTCCTTGCAGTTGGCTGGATATGCCACACGCAAATTTTTTTCCTTCCCAAGCTTCTTGGTACAAAGATAAACAATTCTATTACCAGGGTGCCAGGACAGCCTCATTTTGCTAGAGGCTGTGTTGTGAGACAGCCTGAGAATGTGTCAAACACTGCACTGACCTTTCACTGTCTCTGTATTTTTTTTCTTTTCTGGAATGACGCATAGACAGAATCACACCACCTTCTGGGCCCGGGAATTGCTCTATCATAGACCAGTCCCTGTTTATCACTGTCTTTCTTGCCCTGAGGCCTGTTATACAATCTACTTTACTCTCCCAGGTTCTGCCACACCCACCCCTCCATCCCTACGGATTCTTCTCTGTGAAGCCTGGCTGCATGGATGGAGGCCATTTCCCTTAGCCATACCCACCTCTCTCTCCAGGAGGTGTATTCTTGAAAATTCCCTTCTTCTGGCTCTGTCACTAGAGTATGCTGCCAGCCAGAGACACAGAAATCAGAGGGTGGGAGCAGGGATGTCTGTCCTGCTGCCTTGCTGGACAGGCCCCATGTCCCCACCAGCCGAGTCCCAGCAGCTCCTGACAGGTGGCCCTTCTGCCAAGGCTCCAGCTCCATGTGGTAACACTGTTACCTCCCTAATCCTTCTGCCTTAAGGATGGTGAGGACTTGCATCTGTTGGGAGTATCTGAGGGCCCAGCATTCCTCAGCAGCTCCTGTAGCTCTGCCCACAAGACTTCCTCTTCGAGTTCTCTCTCTGCTAAATTTTCTTTATTTGAACTACTTGAGTTAAACTCTACTTCCTACCAGGACCCTGACTGCTATGCTCACAAGGCAGAGATGTCTGACATATGTTACTTGGTTCCTTTAGGCTCTTACGGTCCTGTCCTATTATTGACCTGGTGTTAGGGAACAGGCAGAGGTTTTGTACAGGGCAAACCCCCATATAAAATGGGGTTTCCTGACTGTGGGTCCTCACCCACGCACTTAAAAGGGACTTATTAATGCTAAACTGCAGACACACACAAAAGGTTGATAAAAGGTTTATTTACAAGGGAAGGGGAATTGGGGAAATGAATAACTCGGAGAGAAAAGAGGGAGATAAGTTCGTAAATGCGTCCGCTGACCTGGAATCCCAATGACCCGCCGAGCTGCTAAAAACCTAGCACACCTCGTGGCCAAAAAGGGGAGGCCCCCGCCAGATGGACAGTTAAATACCCAAACCCAAGCCTAATTGTTTAACTCCGCCCTCGGGTCCTCACAATCTTCCCTTTGGTGATCATGGGATTTGTAGTTCCCGGTGTCGTGGGGGTGGAGTCCATAAAGCCTGTATGGAGTTTGCTCAGGACATCTTTTCCCCCTATCCGTTTGACACTGGACCCAAGAGATACTGGGTTTCAGGCTTCATTCTGTGTGCTCTTCGGAAAGTCATTTGCTTCCCCTCAACACAGGCCTCAGTTTCCTCAAGTGTGAAATGAAGGGTTAAATTACACCCTTGGTTCTCAATGTAAGGCACACAATCTTTGAGGTTTCCCAAAACCCATTCAGGAGTTCAGTGAGGACAGAGTAGTTTAACAATAATTCTAAGAAAGTGACTTACCTTTGTCATTTGGTGATATTTGCAACTAATGGTGCAAAAGCCATGGCAAGTAAAATTGTACCTGAGGGTGACCAAGGCAGAAGCCCCAAACTATACTAGGAGCGATCATGCTCTTCACTTCCAGCCACTCAGCAAAGTCTTCAAGTACCAATCTCACTTGGGAATATCCATGGTGAAACTGAAAAATATGACTTTTATTAAATCTCGACCCTTTAGTACATATCTTTTTCATATTTATATGCTGGATGATAAAAGTGAGAATTACACGGAAGGCATTTCTGCTATTTGCCAAAATAAGGTGGGTGTCTGTTTTAAGAAAAAAGCATTTGTGTGATTATTTGGCTTGTGAAAAGAACGAGTCACTTTTCCCATGGGACACTATTTGTGCTTGAAAGAATAATTGACAAAACAACTATGGCAATTGAGACTGAGATATTTGGAGATATTTTCTCAAAAATGAACAAAGTGAGTGTCTCACATTAAGGAAAATAGTTGACAGTATTTATTGTCAATGGTAAAATTGGAGCTTTCAAGCTTGATCGTACCCTAGCACTTAAAGACTTTTCTGATAAAGCAGTTGTAATATTAACAAAAGTTGTTTGTTGGTATCATATGAGAGATGTCAACATTTGAACAACCTGCTTATGCTGATATAGCAAATTTTTATTCCTAAATCTGGAGGCTTTGGAGAAGGACTCAGAAAACCTTGGTTTCCTGACATTTACTTGCTATGTCAGCTCCATTGTCTCAGCAGAAAAAAGAATTTTCTCTATTTCTCATCTGTAGAATGGGTATAAAAACTACCTCATAGTTACATAAGACAACTGAGTATTAGTATATGGCAGTAGATGTTCACATATATCTGTAAGTTAATGTATACAATGATAGAAAACAAGTACTTGGCACATTGCAAATATTGTAGCAGTGTTTCTATCATTACCATTTTCTGCATCATCCTTTCAGGTGGGAGAAGCCAGGCACTGCCTTTCTCTATAAAGCTGGACTTCAGAACAAAGGCTCTGCTAACAAGTATTGTTGGGTTCAGGTCCCAGCACTATTTATGAACAAGTGACCTTGGCAAGTGATTTAGCGACACAGTAGTATTTGCATATGATTATTATAAGGAAATGCATATAAGATGCTAAGCCCAAGACCTGGTACAATAGGCTAACTCACTTAGACTAGTAATAGAAATTCAAGAAATATTTCTTGAATTACATAAAATCATACCACATTATGATGGTATTAAACATTTCAGAAGGATTCACAGATTTTTGTGATACATTTGAGCAATGGTATTTGTAGACCAGCTCTGATTTATAGTATCTGCCAATTCCTGTGGTATAAATATTCTCACAGTTGCCAGTTTCAAGCCACCAGTATAACACCACTAAAGGTAGAATTGGGAAAAAATCCTCCCACTGTCCTTTGCTGTTATGAGCCAGTTCTGGCATACAACTGCTTTCACAAATACTTCTGAAGAGTTATTGTTCACTGTAATCTCATCTGAGGCTTCTATTCATCAGGAGGCTACCCAAGAGCAGAACAAGTACATTTTGGGGGACTTCGGAAATATTTTTAAAAGTCATGATTTCTCACTAAGTCACTTAGAACTTGACCCATTTATGCACTATGGAGAGATCACCAAATCCTAACCACTAGACCACCAGGGAGCTCATTTATGCACTATGGAAACAATATAACTCTCTCTGCAGTTTTAATAGCTGGGAAGATTTTGGGGGGCATGAAATCCTGGGAAGAAAGAATTTACTCTAAGAGTAATTAAGAGTAATCAGACAATCTAAGACACATTCTATATGATTCCATTTATTAAAGAATAAAACTTTCCTTCCAACTATGAAATTCATTTAAAATCCTTTCGAAAGAGCAAATCCAAATTAAAAAAGACTGCTAGGCACTTAAAATACTCTGGTTCCAAAGTAAAAAAAAAGACAGACAAAAAATTTTGAGGAAAGATTATATAGCAAAAGTAGAGAAAGCAAGATGTAGTGAAATTGCCCATGACAATCTGTCATATTAGTCATTATGCATTTCAACATCTGCAACTAAAAAGTCACAGAAGTCAAAAAATTAAAACCAAAAAGACCCTTAAGGACCACAGATTGCTGGTTGATGTTGCTACAATATTTAGCCCTATGTCCATTCCATGTAAAAAATAAATTAAGTATAAATAAGGAGGTGAGGGAACTAGTGAGCTCTTGTATGTTCAGAGTACATACTCAGAGGAAGCAAGGGGCTAGGACCCAATGCCTTTCCTCCCCCACACTCACTACACAAAACTCTCCTCCATGTTGCTGCATAGTAAAAATGAGTCCACAAGTCGGGGCTGGACCAGCTGCTGGAAGTCAGAGTCCTGGAGACCATCAGGGCAGACTCCAGCCAATCTACGGAGTGCAGCCTGGGAAGAAACAGAGAGATGACACAGGTCATGCTGGGTCCTTCTCAGGGCACTGAGAGATACAGTTCAGAAAGTGGCTTATTTAATAGCCAATTTTAGCTTGGTCACCTGACACCTTAGTTATCGGGTCCTTTTGGTCACCTGATTACCATGGCAAACTTGTCACTTGGCCACTCGGTTTCATTTGCATCTTGGTTAAAATAGTGAATTTCTTTCTTTTTTTTACGATTTATTTATTTATGCATACAAGAACTGGGGTACAGGCCAGAGGGGAGGGGTGAGATGATTCATTAGAGCCAGAGTGGGGAGCAGAACAGGCAGATCCACTGAAATACACCGCTGAGGTTTGCTGTGCCATGTTGGTAGCTCCCTGGCTGGGGATCAAACTCATGCTACAGTAGCTACAGATTGCTCATGCTTACCCCTTGTACCCAATAGTGAATTTCATTGGAAAGCTTTTCATGATTGTAATAATGGTCTTGCCATCTTTGTTTTTCAGTCATAGAAACCTATAAAAGCTGTCATTGAAAGGATCTGGCCAATATAGTGAAACATATAAATGCAAGATTTGCTCATCAAAGCAATTATATTTTTGCTTCTAGATTCCTAAAGTAACCTTAGGACAACAAGGATTATTCATTAATACACACATTCAGCAGAGTTCTGAGCAAAACATATGGGACAGGAAGAGGGAAGACAAAGGAGGTTCTATAGCTGAAAGAGACAAGATCATCTCCCCACCAAGACGGGGAGCAACAGGAAAAAGTACAGGAGGAATGAAACCATGACCCAGCTCCCCACACACCAAAATTTTCATTCTTCCTTGAGTGTATGATCCTGTTTTACAAACATGCGCAAGGTGCTTTTCCTATGGCATAAAGTTCCTCTCCACTGTTTGCTAGCAACTCCATTCCTCCTGTAAGGCCTGGCCACTGTCACCTCCTCTGCAAAACCTCCCTTGATTACTTCAAAGCAGACACAGCCCCTCCTTCTCCTGTGGCCCAAAGCCCCTGGGCTGACCTCAGCCTTCTTCCACTTGAGTACAATTGAGTTTTAAGTGTTTCCCACATTAGATTCTGAGCTCCTCAAGGATAGAGACTCTGTTTTGTATTTCTCTGTATTTATGGCAGGCTGAAAAGGAGTTGACACAAGGCTCAACAGATGTTTGCTAAAAACATAATGAACAAATAGTGTTTTAAAATTGAGCTCTGCTGCTAGAGCAACTTGAAACTGCAAATGTGAGCTGTGCACCTCTCTAGACCTCTTTACCAGTTAGCTGAGGCAATGCATACTAAATCCGTGGTTAAGATGAATTCCTTCCCTCTCCCTGAGCATAGACACAGCAGAGAACAAGGTGGGAGCTTAAGGCTGCCTCTCCCCTGGGAAACAAGTAGAAAAAGAAAGATCTAGAAGGGCAGAAGAAGCAAAGAACATTGCTTTGTGTATCTGCACATCACGTTCATTTAATCCCTACTTGATGCAATAAGGAATCGTGATCTCTGTTTTAGAAGTAAGGAGACTAAGACTTGGAGAGGAAAAATGCTTGTCCCAAGATGACATAGCAGTTGAACTCCAGGGTTCTCCTCCCAACACAGGCAGATACTGTCAGCCCATGACAGTAGACAGATTGACTGCAAGGCAGGAACAGATCTCATCATCTAAAATGGGAGGTCATCTACTGTTGAGAATTCACACCAAGGTAGTAAAGAGAGGATGACCCAAGCTGGGGGCTGGAGTAACAGGTGCTGTCATGTCCAGGCTGGATCAAGGAGAAGGGACATAAGTCTCTGCACATCTGAGCAGAGTCTGATCACTGGTAGCAGGAAGTGCAATCCATGGAACCATGTCTTACTTCTCCAAGGGTATGATTTCCCCAAGAGCTAAAGAGACTGAATTCCTTAGCCTGCCTGGACTACATCTGGGAAAAATAACCCCATTGCCTTGAGTTGGCACAGTGAAAATGGAATCCAGAATCTTCAGCAGATGAGGATCTGAGCTCATTAATGCATTTTCTATCACTGGGATAGAAATAAAGCAAAGGGAAGTAGGGGCAAAGAGACAAAGAAAGATAAAAGGACCTGTGAAGAAAGAAAATTAGATAGAAAGAAATGGAGAGATGGAGAAAATGAGGCAAAAAAGATAAAAGATAGAGAAAAAGAGGTAGAAGGAAATAACTATTAAAACAAAGAGGCAGAGGTGAACTTAGAGAAAGCAAATGAAGGGGCAAGAGGGGCAGATGGAAAAAAAAATAGTGACAAAGAAAAAGAATACCCCAAATGGGAGTGGGAGTGGATAATACAAGAGAGGTAGGGGGAGAAAAGAGGGAAGAGAAAGGGAGGAAGAAGAGAGAAGAGGGCAGGCGAGAGGAGAATAAGGGGGTGAAGGGAAAGGGGGAACAGAAGACACCCCAAAGAGAAACAAGAGATACAGAACTAGAAAAAGACCTGAAAAAACACAAAGGCAGATAGACATCCTCATTTCCCCAGGACCCCCCAAAGTCTGCAGCACACCTTGTTCAGTGTCCAGGAGCCTCAAAGGACCCTTCTCCCATCCCGAGCCTCTGCTTTCCTCAAAGGGTTAACAGCCAGTCATCCCAGGATCTCATTCCCAGACAGTCTGAAAACACTGAAGTCTTAAACAAGCCCACTGACAGCCGCTTCATTAAGGGAAAATCAATTCTGTTTGCGAGAGGCAATCTGCGCTGCCACTTCCCAGATGTGGGAGATGATAATTGAAATGTCCTCCCTCCACCTGGAGAAACTTTGAAAGTGCAAAGAAGGGAAGGGCAGGAGAGGTAACCTCCATCTCCCTCCTGCAGACGGGGCTCCAAGTGGCCCCATCTCATCTATCAGGGGACAAACTGAAATAGTAGAGCCCCTGCTAGGAGCAAAAACACAATCACCCACCAACTCTGGGGTCTAGGGGGAGGGGGACAAGTCTAGCAGTCTCAGAAGTCAGGCAAGAAACAGTCTTCAAACCCAAGAAGATACAAAGAGATGAGAAAGCACCCTAAGGTTCCAGGTCTGCGGGGGAGAAATAAAAATCCCCACAATGAGCAGTAGAAGCAAGACCAGGCATAAGACATGAGGAGAGAGTATGGCTGGAAACAGGATGGTCTGGTGGAAAAGTTAGTGCTGGGCAGGTCTGTTTCGATTCCAAGAACATCTCTTTAGAATACCCAGAACACTGGACAGCACAGCCTGCCTCCCACCAGGGAAAATAAGATGCAGCCAGTAGTGACGGCACATATTGTGAACTTCCCCTCCTAAAGCTCCAGAGAGCCCCTGGGAGGCCTCATGGGGGACAGGGATTCTGAGCAGGGCCCTGAAAGAGAGGCAGGCAGAGGCGTAGTGAGGGCATCTGCTAGGGGCAAAGGCCAAAGCACAGTGTCCAGTCAGTCTGGACAGGGCCTGGACACAGTGGGGTGGCCTCCAGGGCTCAGGGCCCAACAGTAGCTGTAGGTCATGGGGAACTATGGACAGATGGACCATAGAGGCTTCATGGTGGTAAGCTGTCCTGAAAAAAACTAGCCCAGCATTCACAGGGAGGGAGGAGCTCTCTCCAGCATGAAATAACTCCTCCATAAGGATAGACTGAATCTACTGGGAAGTCTTCCAGGTGATTGGAGAGAGTACATAACACTCCCTTTGTGAGTTCTTCATCTGACTAGTGAAAATAGAAAAGCAATGGTAACAATTGTCCAGTTGAACATGGTCCCCCAAAGCTTGGACCCATCCCCATAGGCCTCAGGCCCCATTCAGTGTCAGGCAGTGGCTGGTTACCTGAGTTGTGAAGATAATGGTAGTTGGAGCCAATGATAATGTGTTTGCCAGGTACGAGCTCTCTCTGTTTTACTCACAAGACCAGACAGGAATAAAAAGGTTTGTGAACTTGGATGAAAAATAATGACATCTTTCTACTCATAAACCTTTAGCTGTAACAAAATTTCCTTCGGTTGTGAATGTAGCAACCAAGCAGGTGTCTCAGCAAACCCTGTAACTGGCTGACCAGTAGAAACCACAGACACTTTCATATCATACCACAGTTGCTGGCGGTGCCCTCAAATATCATTTACACTCTCCACTGGTTGAGACTACAATATTTATTAGACACACTGGTAGGTCTTTATTTAATGCATTAATTTAAAAGTGCATATATTAATGTATCATTAGTCTGAATGTTCTTTTTAGGACATAATTGCTTTCCCTTTTAATTCTATGTCTTTTATTTTATGCATTTAAAACATTAGTCTGAGAAGGAATCCAAAAGCTTTACCAGGTAGATGGCTAAAAGCCTAAAAAAGGTTAAGGTTATTCTGAAGCTACCAGAAAAAAAGCCCCACGAGAGCAGCCTATACTTTTCCTCTTTTCCCCACAGCTGTGTCCCCAAGGCCTTGAAGAACGCATGCACATAGAATCACTCAGTAAATATTTTTGACTAAAGCTTAGAACACTTAGAGACCCACCCAATGTCACACATCCCATTAACAGCACAACCAAGACAGTTCTGTCTAATGGTAATGCCCTGCTGTTTCTACCCCTGTGCAATTCCCCTTAGGAACTCCCAGAAATGAGAGGAGATCAGATTAAAAATGTAGTAAGGGGCCTCCCTGGTGGCACAGGTGGTTGAGCGCCGCACTGTGAAGCTGTCCGCAGCCTCTGCAGTGAGGGTTTGATCCCCGCTGGCCAGCGAGAATTCCACATGGCAAAGCAGACCTCTCCTGTCTTGCCCACTGCTCCCCTCAGCAGTGTATTTCAGTCAGTCTGCCTGTTCTGTTCCCTGCTCTGTCTCTGGTGAATCCTCTCACCCTCCCATGCATCTGGCCTGTACCCCTGTTCTTGTGTAAAAATAAATAAATTAAAAAAAAAATGTAGTAAGGAGGGGGCACTACTGTGAAATTGCTTAAAGATCCTCAAGACCTATCTCCCTCTGGTTCTTTGAGGACCCTCCCAGGATCTGGCAAGGCCTTCTGAAAGTTAAATGGCCTGTTTCTACAATTACATTCTGCTCCTTCGCTCTTCCAGCTGGAAGCTGCTCTGCTCTGGAATTCATTAAGCCCCAACAGGGAGAAGTGCAGAGACAAAGAGCATTCCCCATCTGGGTCTCTTGATATCTCATGGTGGACTCAGGCATCAAGGAGAAGTGGGGTGGGGAACTCCCCAGATCAACTGCTTGGAGATCCTGGGGGCTGCTGGATAATATTCTGTCTGGTCTTACATTATCTTGTCCAGTCGCTGTTCACAAAGGAAGAGGTAGCTACCGAGTAGGGGGAGTGTTAGGAGAGGGGCTCTGTCCAAGGAGGAAGGGGGGGGGCTTTTCTCACAATGTCCACTGTGGAACAGGCAGGAGACAGGCCCACCCTAGGACTATGTGCTGAAAACACCAAAGCATCACCGTCGTCACCCCCTAGCATTCTGCTGGCAGTTGCCTCTAGCCTTGATCTCAATGAACCTTATAGGATAGTGGTTACTAAAAGGAACCACATACATGACCTCATGCAATTGCCACAATTTTATGAATTAAATGAATCAACTTATTACTCTTATCAACATTCACCATTTTAAAGAGGCAAGTTGGAGCCTACAGAAGTTTCATGGCTGACATAAGCCCACTGTGGCACAGCCTGCTCTCCTGGCCACCCCTGGTCTTCCTGCCGAAGCCTAAGAGGGAAGTTGGGGGATGGGGCACTCACCAGACAGGCCACGAGCACAGCATCACTGCTGTTCCTCTCAGCAGGCGATCGGCAGAGCTCAATGAGACGGGACATACCTGCAAGAGAACCAGGGCGAACCTCATGCCAGGAAATGAGATGGGGCCAGTGCCTCTCATGCAGCCCTCTGCTGGGCTCTGTGGAGAGAGGCACTGCTCAGGGTCCCTGTCATGGAGCCAAAACACCCAAGGAAGGGGCTGGACCCACCTGGAGGTCCTTGTGGTGGAGACTGTGTCAGTTAGTGACATAAGTAGACCCTGGTGAAAGCCAGGATGAACTGGAGCATCAAAAGCAAAACCCCAAAGTACCAGAAGACTGGCCAGAGATGAACTGAGTGGGGACCGCAGCAGGAGACCTGCCCCCGTCTTTCTATAGGACTTCTATTTAGGAACGTCTGATTTTACCAGAGCTGTGTTCAATGTTTACATCTTTACCAATGGAACTACCTGGTATCTGTTGTTGTTGTTGTTTAACCAGTTACCTATTTTAGTCAGAAAATACATGGTGGCAAAAATTACAGAAAATTGCCAGTATCTCAGTGTTTCCTAGACCTTTACAGAAGAGTTAAATGTATGTCTTTGCTTTTCAATGCAAATTGACTTTTCAAACTCTAAAAACAAAATGCAAAAACAATGCAACGCACAATGCATTCCCAGATAATGATAGAAGGTAGATAAAATGTGATTATCCTCCATAAAAGCATGGTGGAGTGGGAGCCCTCTGCTTCCCCAGGGTCCCTTCTTGCTGTCCGTGGGGTACGTGGATGGTGCATGTCACTGCAATCACTCTTCTCATGCTTCCACTTTGCTCAGCCTTAACAGCAGAACAGCCCTGAAACCACACTGAAGACGCACATCCCTGTGAAAATATTCTTTGACCTATCCAGATATGCATGGGCTTCTCCCCCTGTGTGCTGACTGTGCCAGGGTCGTGCGTTGAGCACCCCTCTATACACACAAATACACATTTTGCCCCCTGCTTCAGCCATAAGCCCATGTGGCCAGAGCCACATCAGTGTTCTATGCCCAGCACCGAGAAGAGAGCCCAGCACAGAGCAGGAGCTCCAACGTATTATTGGATGAATACATGAGTGAATGAACGAGGGCTTTAATGAGTGAGTTAATCAACAAAGGGATGGATTCAGGAGCCAATGAGTGGATCAGTAAACAAATGAGCAAGTGAATGAATGAATGAATGAATGGGAAGTGAATGAGATGTAAGAATGGGGTCCTATAAACAAAATGTCTGCAGGTGAGTCACTGTTCTGGTCAACTTCAACCTGGCCAGGCCCTTCCCCTCTGTCATTTCAGCCCCAGGTGACAGCCATATAAGGCTTCCAACCTGGCACTTTCCAGCACAGTAGAGTGGGGCTCACCCTAGCCATTCCTTTGTTGCCACCATGAAATCAGGGCTGATCCCGGCCCCCACCCTGCTCCACTCCAGCCATAGCCCGCACACTTACAGCTCAGCCGCACGGCCTCCCGCGCCACAGCTGGGTCTCGGCAGAGACGCGCCAGGGTCACCGCAGCCTTCTGCTGGACCCTCTCGCAGGCTGCCACTTCAGCAGGGGTCCCAGACCTTGGCTTCTCAGACAGCATGCCCATGATCAGCTGCACCCCTGGGCAGGAAGTGGTAAACAGTTGGCGCCCACCTCCCAGCTGCATGGCTACCTGAGGACTCAAACAAAGGCTGTCGTGATGACGTAGGGGGTGACCCCTGGGAGGACACCAAACAAGGCACTTCCTCTACTCCTTCTACCTGAGGCATGTCCCTGGCTCCCTGTTCCGAGTCACTATGCTTGAAGCTGGAGGGAGGACATACATCCCTTTCAATTATTTTTTAAGGTGATCACTGAGCTTTTACTATATGCCTGGTATTGTGCCAAGTGCATAGAAAATACATGATCCCCAAAACCTGCTAATAGCCTTGTGAGTGAGGTATTGTTATAGTTCACTTTGCAGCCCAAAGAGAAGGGAAGTGTCTTGCCCAAGGTCATGCAGTTAGTAGTCGGAGAGCTGGTGTCAGAACTTAGGTAATCTGGTTATTCTCTGCACCTCTTCACCTCTGGGGCAGGCTGCATCTGAGGCAGGTCCAGAGGTCATGGGCACCTGGTGGGAAGAGTCAAACCTAGGGGTGGGTAATCACTAGATGAACTGTTCTAGATGATATTCAAGCACGGGAAGGGGGTAAAGTAGCTGCACAGAGAGCTTTAGGCACAAATTCGGTCTTGCGAAACCTCTCCACCTCCCCTAAAGCCAGAACTATCTTCTCATTCTCCTACAAACCCATTCCCACATCCATGCCACCTCATGCCTTTGCTGACCTGTTTCTTTTCCTTTCATGCCCCATCTAAATAGTTCCCCTCCTGCAGGTTGTAGTAAAAGCCCACATTCTGTGGGAGGTATTCCCCAACTTCCCCAGCTTATTCACTCGCATTTTCTGTACCCAGGGGCTCTTACCAGCTCAGAACTTAAACCAAGCATGGCCTGCAGAGCTATTTTGGTTTGTTTGATTGCTCCACACAGTGGCAATACTTTTTTAAAATTTTCTAATAGGAAAACTGGGAGATGTTCATAAAAATCCCAAATTTCATGTTTCTAAAAAATTACCTCCTGATCTAAAAACACTGAGCCCACATTTCTGCATGACAACAGTTTGCTAGAGCTTGTTATAAGCTTATGCTTTCAAATGGGATTGATCTAGTCCTTACTGAATCATGTCACCAGTTTATATTTCCTGTCTGGATCCTATATGTAACCTCTGACTTACCATGAAGCCTAAAGGACCTGTAAAATTCTTCTAGCCTAACCCTTCCCTATCCCCATTTCACAGATGAGCGCTGAGATCTAGAGAGAGGACATGACTTTCCAGGTTCACACAGGAGTCAGTGGATTCCAGTGTCTCAGCCACATGCTTCTCTGCATCTAATGTGAACCGGATGCAATTCTAACTCTCCTGGGTCCCAGCGCAGAGGCTCAGAGTCCTGGAGAAGAGCTATTTCTCTTTCTAATGAGCTTCATAAGTGCCCTAATTCTCCCTCCTATAGACTTGAGGGGTTCTTCCTTTCTTAGCTCCTATTAATGCTGCCACCACACACTATGCTCTGGGAAAAGAGCTTCTTCCCAAACCCCCTTCCCAGCCACTGAATGGAACATGGTCTCAGGCTCCCTCTAGGCCACACTGTCCCTGAGTTGAAGTCACGGTGTTAATGTCCTGTGGTATAAATGTTACAGCCTGTGGGGACATGAATAAAGGGCACCCAAATGCTAACTTTGGGATGAACTTCAAGCCCAAGAAATTGTACTAACTCCTCCTGACCAAGGTCTCCGTGAAGAAGCCAATTTCCAAATCTAAGCTTTGCACCTGGAAACTTACAGTTTGGATTTTTTTTTGTCCATTTCCTCCATGGATATATGTAAAGTACCCAGGAGAGTGCTTAGCTCAAATATTAGTTGGATAACGAGCAAATGAATGGATATGACTGTGTTCATGTGAAGAACCTTACAAATGTCTACAAACATTTCCTGTAAGTAATACTTCATAAGTCTTAACTAGAAAAAGACAGGATGCTCGAAATTGGGGCTGCCCAGTGAAATCCAGAATGTGTTTCCTAAGTTCTGAACAGACTCAAGGCCAGAAGAGCTGCCAGAGTTGTAGGGAGTTAAAGCTGCAGAGATCAGCCTCGACACTGTGTTCCCTCCCCAACATCCCTTCAGCTCAGTCCCAACTGCTGAGGGAAAAGCAGAACTAGCTGAAAGGTGGATGTCAATGGACTGACAAGCAAGAGCGGGGGCCGCCCTGGCCTGCTCCCAATGTAGTCAGAGCCTCTGGTCACCAGAGTGGCTCCTCCATCCAGCCCTCTTCATCTGGCAACACGGGGCAGTACAGAGATGAAGTCACCTGGCTGACAGGGAGGGCATCTCAGAGTCTCAAACACACTGGTTAGAGGACAGTCCTTCAAACCAGCCTGCACAGCAGGCTTACTCTGTCTAGACTGAGGGGCCCTACTGCCTTATGATTGCATCCTCAACATTGCTGACCACTGCAGTTCTGCCCCCTTTTGTAAATAGCTCATTCATCAAACCCTCTTCCATTGGGCCTCTTGAAACTACCGCTGATTTCTAAAAAGCTACACTCAACCTGGCATTTATTCTGAGCCAGATCCTCCTTGAACATTCTTTAGAGTAATCCTCATATCATCCCTATGTGGCAAGTACTACTATTGTTCCCATTTTGCAGATGGAAAAACAGAGGTTTTGCCCCTAGCAAAACAGTCAGGAGTCAGTCCCCTCTGGTGCCTAGGGGTTAAGGCTCAGTGTTACCACCCCAATGGCCCACTGCAATGGCCTGAGTTTGATTCCCAGACAGGGAACTAACCTACATGGCGCAGCAGACCTCTCCTGTCTCACCTGCTGTTGACCTTAGCAGTGTGTTTCAGTAAAATCCAACAGTTCTGCTCCCCACTCTGTCTCTGGTGAATCCTCTCATCCCCCACACCTCTGGCCTACACCCCAGTTCTATGCAAAAATAAAAAAAAAAAAGTCAGGAGTCAAGCCCAGACATTCTGTTTCCCATTTTCAGGGTCTCAACCACTGAGCCGTCCTCCCTCTGCCACGCTGCTTCATGGGAGATGAGATACTTTTGTCATCTATCAATTTTGTCCTGTTGGACTCTCCTTCCAGAGTGGGTGATCATCTAGGACAAAGGCAAGGGTTTCTTCATCTCTGTTCTCACTGTCCTACGCAGTAACTGCTGACTGGATGAGCCTGCCAGTGGCACTTTGTAAACCATAATTATCTGTACAAATGCCAGATATTCCAAGCCTAAAACCACAGGCCCATGAGACCCTCTCCCGCTGACCACCTGAGTTTAAGCCTCCAAGTGTTGAAGGAAGTCACCACCAAGACACCCCTTGGCCTCTCATCTTCAACTGGCTCCATAAAGCTCTTCTCTGTCAGCTTAGTGACATAAAGTTAACAAAAAACTATATCATTCAACCACTAATAGAGCAATGGGGTGGGTGGGGGGAAGTGCATAGGTTTGTTAAAACAGAGAAACAATCTAGGAGAAAGGAGTTTAACAAGAGCAGAGGCAGCGACCCAGCTCCCGGCTCACTTGTCCTCATTAGCACCTCTGCTCCCTTACTTCCCAGCCTGAAGAAGTCCTCCTCACTGTTCCCAGTTGCCAGGCAGCCAACCTGTGGTGCACTTGCACACATAGCACACAGATCTATGCTTGTGCAAATGTGGAGATCACCTGTCTGTATTTACACACTTACACAGTGGCCTCGCACAGGCACTTGGTCCTGCAAAGCTGCATCACCCACACAACTAGCACCTGCTGGCACATACCATTCTCCTGGATGATGTCAGAGGCGCACTGCTCTAGCACGGACATGTTGGCCAAGATGGTCACGATCTGGAAGAGAGAATTGTGAAGCTAAGAAAATGGTACACCTGAGCCAAAAGGTGCTCTCTACACATAGGTGAGCCAGGAGCTTTCATTTAGCCTGTGACTCCTTTCCAGCCACCTGGCTCATCCTTCCAGGGGATTTTCTTCCTGCTTCATGGGCCCTGCCACCTAGATGTGTTCCCCCATGACTGACACCCACTCAGCAGTGTGTAGCCCTGGGATGGCCCCTAGGCACGCCAAACCTGGGGGAGAGAACAGTGTCAAGTGACACGCTGAGTGAAAACAAGGGCCCCATCATTTTTCTGCAGGGTCCCTCTGGCTCCAGGTCCTGAGATACAAGCAGAACTGGCAGGTTCCTGGCTAGCCCCACCGTGGACTGGGCTTCTTGCCCTGATATTGAGCTCAACCTACTTTCAACCTGAAGCTAGTGGTGACTAAGGTTGAGTTAGAGGACATGAGTGGAATCAAAGGGCAGCATTACACCCTTTGGACTCAACAAGAAAGCTCACGCTCAGCTCTGCTTCACAGGTTTGTAGCCTGCAAACCTCACTTGTCAGTCTTCACTGAAGGGCTCTGACTGGCTGACACCCGGTGGCCTTGATTACCACTTCAAGGCCTGGGAAAGCAGCAGTGTCCCATGCCCATCTACCCTGGCATAATCAAGTTTGCAGAGAGAACTCACAGCACAAAACTGGACTAAGGAATGGGTGGGCAAGGGACTTGCAGAAAACCCCAAAACATCCCTGAAATATGCTGCATAGGGGGTGCCTGCATGCCCCCCACAGCACTGCTCCTGACACAAACAGCAAAATGAACACTCACCCACTCCCACAGAAGTGGACAGCGCCCTCTAGTGGCAAGTAAAATAAAACTGAATGGAAACACTGGCACAGGCCTCTCTTAAAGTCTCTTCAAACTTTATGCCAGGGATATTGGAGGTCAGGCCCCACCTCTGAGACAGTATATGACTCAAAATAATTAATGCATACAGCAAATCTCTTCTTTTAAGCAAAAAGGAAAGCTTTTGCTCTCTTACGAGAATAAGTCCCCCCACTAAACACATGTTGACAGGATGTGCATTCTGAGGCTGCTATGCTGTCAGCCAGCCCAGCTTTGGCCAGGTTGGGGACCCCGTGGGTGAGCCCTGATGAGCTGAGGTGGGTTGCTGGAGAGGGACAGGGGAATGCCCCAGAAGCCTTATCCAGGAAGAAATTCTGCCTCACCAGATGTTTTATGAGAGGTGTGACAAGCTCCTATTTACACTCAAAAATAACAACAGGATTAAATGAGGTTTAGTCCTTGGACGCTCTCTGCCCCCTTTCAGGATTGGGTTTGTAGGCTAAGTGGAAGGAGTCAGAACAGAAATTATGGGTGAAAATCCAGTTAAAAAAAATAGAAGGTTCTCTGAGAGGCATGAAGTGCATGGTTTATGAGGAAGGTAACAGGAAGCCCAGTTGATGTCGGCTTACAGGTGATTTGGTTTTCTCAAGCTGTTAGCGGCAGCCTTGATTCTCACCACACAGGAGCAGTTGCACCCAACTTCAGCAGCCTCTGGCATCAAGTCACTAGTTGACACCAAGATCCAAAGAAGGGAGGGGAGAGGAAGAGAGAAAGGAAGGAAGGAAGAAAGGAAGGGGCAAAATTAGAAAAGAAAAAGGAAACCTTTGTCTGTAGCACCAGCTTCGTTACATAGCAATTATTAACTGTATCACAGGCACAGGTAGGTCTTTGTGTCAGACTAATTTAGATCCTGTTAATGAAAATTACTTCCTCTTTGCAGAGTCTGTACCCCATGTGGTTTTCTGAGGTGCAGATGAAGTATTCAATTAAGCACAATTTGAATAAATGCCAATTAGTCCCCCCTTTTGAAACATCCTTGTATGCACTGTGATATAGAGGGAGGGGTTCAATACTTCTTCTCACAGGCAGAGTTGGGAATCCAGGGACAATTGGGTGACCTAGCTGATGCAAGGGAGTGATGCTATCAGGGGACAGAGTTTAGGAGCCAGGCAGACAGGTTTCCCCAGCCTGTGCTAATTCAATCCTGTCTGATGATTTTAATTAAGTCCTATTCCTCCAGAGAGAATGTAAACCATTCCCTCTGCAGGTATTTGGGGAAAAATGAGGATATCCACCTCGAGAGAGGACCCACATAGGAGATAGTGCAGCATAGTGGTTAAGCACACAGATCAGCCTAGTTCCAGATCTTGGCTCTGTCATTTATTTTCCATAAGATCTTGGCCATCTTATGTAACCTTTCTTTGCTGTAGTTTCTGAGTGTATTAGTATTCTATTGCTGCTATAACAAATTACCACAAACTTAGTGGCTTAACACAACACAATTTCAACCTTGCAGTTCTGGAGGTTAGAATCAAATGGATGAATGAACTAAAACCAAGATGCTGACACAGTTGCATTTCTTCCAGGGGTTTTATGGGAGATTCCATTTCCTTGCTTTTTTTAGTTTCTTCCTTAATTGCATTCCTTGACCCTGATCTCTGATTTCTGCTTCTTCAATTGCATTTCATTCAACTTTCTCTGGCTCTGACCCTTCTGTCTCCATCTTTTAAGAGCCCTCCTGGTTACACTGGCTCATATGAATATTTCAGGATAATATTCCTATATCAAGATTCTTAATCACATTGGCAAAATCCTTATGGCCATGTCAGATAGTATATTCATAAATTTTGATGATTAAGATGGGGACATCTTTGGGTCAGCCAAAGATAAAATAATTCATAAGACTGTTATGAGAATTAAATGAATTAATGTTTTGTCAAGCACTCAGAATAGTTGTTAAATAATTATCATTTATCTCTGGGGAACAGTCTAAAAATACCCGGGCATCGAAATATTGAGTCAAGGGGTACTAGCCAATGCAACACCCAGTGTTGGCAAACATGCTGCCAGTGTGAGGTCCCACCCACTGGGAGGCAAGATCCCAGAGCTGGAAAAGCCCTTCTCCAGCACAGAAACCAACAAAGTCTGTATCCATTACCTTCTGTGGCCTTGTGAAATCATTTGTCCTTTGACCTTCCAAAGACAGAACACCACAAGAAAATTGTAGCAAATAGTAAATTGAGTCAGAGTAGCAGACAAACTCCCATGTCACTGATTCAAGAGAAAATGTCCCTGTGTGGTAAGAAGGAGGTAGGCAAAGCCTTCTCACATCAGCTTACACACTGAGGAGAAGGTATACCCTATGCTGCCCAGGGAAGTTTCTTGTCCACAAGACCCTGCTGCTGATCCCACAGCAGGCACAAGCTTATCTCCACACCTCGCTATGTATGTCTCAGTAGTCAGCCCAGATCACACTCCAACTCCACCTCTGTCCCTTCCATTTGCTATGTTGTAAATAAATGTTGAAGACCAGGCCAGTACCCAGTATACCCAAATGAAGATGGGCACATTGATCTCATAGGACTCACACACAGAAAACCTGACATATATTGAATGAGGAGTTAGGATGGATTTTATGTTTTGCAGTAGTGACGGCAAAAAGGCCAACAGTTTACATGACTGTAATGAGAACGGCTCTTTAATTGCTGGGTGGACTATTTAGATCTCCACTACTCCTGTGTTAACTCTAGAATGCTATGATACCAGGTCAACTACAGTGCTGAGACCAAATCCTTTTGGTCTCTAAGGGAAATCTGGTGCCTCCTTCTTCCCTGCCATCTTCTCTCCACGCCACCTTCTCTGCCAATGAGCAGAAAGAATTAAGTCAAGGACAATGATTTGAGAATGAAAATGTTTGAGAGAAGGCTGAGGTCTCTGTGAACATGCTTTCTCCCCCCACGCCACTGAAGCCACAAAGGCCAGGGCAGGGAGACAGCATTTTCCCAAGTTGCACCTGTGGCTCGGTTCTCTGGCAATATGACCTCTAGAAAATTTCCTGAGGATGAGGACACAGGCCACACAGATGACTTGTTCTTCTGGATGGATGGCCGCACCCAGTACCCCTAGATTAGCAGAGGCGATGGAGTTGCTCAGACCCAAGTCTGCCCCCAGCCCAGGTAGGGCACGCAATGGGCAGGGACATCCAGGCCTCTGTCAGACAAATTAAGTGGACTCAGGCTGTCAGGATGACAGAGAGGTTCTCACTGAGATGTTCAAACACAGGTGGACAAAGTGTAGATCCAAGACAAGAGGCTCCACACGGTGCTGACGTCACTAGCAGATGCATTACCGGAAGCCTCACAGGCATTTAATCTCCTAAGTGTTTTGGGGCTGGTGAGCACTTCAGCATCTAATTCATCTTCTTTGTCTTCAGTACAGAGAGCCCTCTGGTCACCTTCATCCTCCCTCTGCCATAGGAAAGAGCCATTTGTTTCTCTAATGGGTGCACTATCACTAGCTAAGTGGTTGCTCTGTGTCAGGGCAAGAGGTGAAACCTTCCTGTGGATGGTAGGAGATGTATCTGGCTCAAATTTGGAGGGCCGGGGAGAGGGGAGTAAAGAGAAGAGGATAGGACTGGGAGATAACTGTGTGATGATAGCAGGAGATCCCTGATTCCAGACTCTGAACTTCCATGTGCGTAAGGCTTGACCACATTCTTCCCTCACACCAAGCCCCCGCCTTCCTAGGAATCAATCATACTTCCTAGGAAGTTTCCAGAGGGGGCCAGTCACGCCTTGTGATGACAAAGGGAGGGGTCTCTGCACATAGAGCCACAGGACATAGAGCTAGAAGAGATCATGCCCATTTTACAAATAAGGAAACTCAACTCCAGAGGCTCCCCATTTAAGGCCGTATGCTACACACCCAAAGAGTAATATTAATAATGATGTCGTAGGGACTATCAGTAATTTAAAGTTCTTATGTGCTAAAAATCTATTTAATGTTCTTTTTAAAAAGATTTATTTATGCATACAAGAACTGGGGTCTGTGCTAGAGGTGCAGGGAGTGAGAGGATTCACCAGACACAGAGTGGGGAACAGAACAGGCAGATCTACTGAAATACACAGCTGAGGGGAGCAGCAGGAGAGACAGGAGAGGTCTGCTGCGCCATGTGGGTTAGCTCCCTGGCAGGGCATCAAACTCATGTTGCAGTGGCTGCTGTTAGCTTGATAATGCTGAGACTTTAACCCCTGTGCCACCAGGGAGGCCCCCAGTTTATTTAATTCTTACTTCGACTTTGTTGGGAATATGCAACTCAACTCCGTTCACAGATGAGAATAGTGAGGCTCAGAGTGAATTGCCCAATGTTACATGATTAGTAATGGCAGGAAAGCTTGGCACCCAGGTCACTGAACCCCCAAATCCCTGTTCTTATTGCCTCACTCCTACATCTTATATGAAATGACCAGAGTTGGCCACAGGAGAGACAGCTGAAGAAGAAAGGACCGGAAGTCATGTCAGGTAGTTGAGAGACCAAATGGAAGGGCCCATCTGAAGAAGAGAAGAGGAGCATGGATGGTCCTCCCCATCCATTCCATACATCCACAGATAGGGGGACTGCAATGGACACTGGACAGTCTCCTCAACTGCCAAGCCAAGGTCAGACTCACTAGCCGCCACTCTGTTTTCACTGTCATACTTTGAAAATATGGTTTATTCAACTCTAAGAAATGAGAGATTTCAAGGAAAAATAGGCCTGGAATCATTATCCTGCATGGCATGGAAGACAGAGTTTAAAGATTTGGGTGATTCATATTCTTCCTTGGAGTATCAAGTTTGAAAAGTAATAGTGTTCATCACTTACTAAGGTCTCAGTAGGGGCTAAGTATTGCATCGGGCCCTATCTCACCCTCACAATAACCCTGCAAGGTAGAAATTCATGTGCCAATTCATAGATGAAAAAACTGACATCCAAGAAGCTATAATTTGTCCCAAGTCACTCAGTGAATAAATAAATGGTCTGGGCAGAATCCACCCTCAGTCTAAGGCCACCACTTCAGTGATGGCAGCAGAAGAGAGTTAAGGACCAAGATATAGGTCAGGACAGGACTTAAATGCAGGCTAGCTACTTGCCAACCACATGATTTTAGGGACACCTTCTCAAGTCTCAATATTCTTATCTACAAAATGGAACCAACATCACCAGCCTCATAGGATAAGGGTTATGCCAATTCTTATTTACTAGACAATTCTCTCTGATTGGGAGTTTCTCTAGTCAGCTACCTCTCCAGAAGTGATTCTAAGGAGATGAAAGAACTGTTTCTTCCCTTTTGTGACCTAAAGAAGCAATTAAAGAATTTCACCAGGAGTGCCAGCTCTAGGCTAGAGGCTTCAAGAAATCCTGGGGTAGTATATATACTGAACATGGGCCAAGCCCTCAAGTTTTTTAATGTCAAAAAATGAACATGAAATAACTAGAAAGTGATAAATAAGAGAAAAATCAATACTGCATGGTGAGGTGTGGCCTTACAACAAGGAGACTGCAGCCATTGGAGAAGGACTTCCTGCGGCAGGAGCTGGCACAGGAAACTATGGCAGCTTTGATGTGGTGATGAGGCTGGGAGAAACAGGTGGGGTGGGGGGCTAAGAGGCAGACCAGGATGAGCTGGGTTGGGGGTGAGGGTCATCCAACTTACAGTTCAGGGACCTAGTAGAATTTACAGCCCTAAAACCCACTGGTCCCCCTACCCTTTATAGTTAAACAGCAGACTGCATGTGGCAGCGGTGGAACAGGATAGAATTCCACAGCCTCAGAGCTCAAAGACACTTTGAAACCTCCTTCTCCAATGTTTTCAAACATGCTTAGTATAAAATCCCTTTACCCCAAACAAAAATTTACATGGAGCTCAAAGATACAAAGACTTGAGATTGATAAAAGGGCTGAAGCCTGGATCAAGGCTCTGTTTTAACCACCATTTTGGACAGAGGCAGAGAAGGGAAGAAGCTTGCTGTGGGGTATGATGAGAGACAGGCACGGAAACGATGAGGCTACAGGTGCTTGGAGGAGGACAAGGGAGCTTCTAGTGTCCTTGTGTCTCCTAGAAAGCACAGGGGTGAATAAAGACAGAGGAATGGGCACACCTGAACCAGAAGGTGCTCTCTGCACACAGGTGAGCCACGAGCTGCAAAGCTTTCATTCAGCCATAGTGGCTAGGTTGGAGGAAGCAGGTGAGGGGGAGGATCACAGAAACGCCCTAAGAGTAACAAGCCACGTTGAGAACACACACCACCAGCAGACTGTGCTGCCCTGTCATGCTGTCTCCTCCGGCCCAGCACCTAAGCCCCGGCCTACTGACCTCTGCCCTTATGGCCACAGCCCCTGCCTGGCCCCTCCCAAACTTTGCACCTGGTCCCTGGTGTAAGGTGTGTCCACCCTCTGTTTGTCGCTGCAGGCTTCCAGAAGGACGCGGACGGCATTTAGCTGCAGGAGCATCTCGCAGGCCATCGTGTCGAAGAAGGTGATGTTGGCAAGGGCCGCAGAGGCCAACAGGAAGACTTCCCCAGATGAGGCCTCTTGGCACAGTTCTGAAGAGTGAAAAGGAAGAAAATAGCTTCACTGCCAAGTGTCTTCCGCTCAGTGCTCCCTGGGTTCCTACAAATGGTCTGGGGGCAGTTTGGGCAGGTGCTGGAGAACTCATTTATACACCACATGAGGAAAGTGATTGTGGGAGGAGGACTTTTTCTACACACGTGGCAGATCTGGGAGCTGAAACCTGGTGTGTGCCCCCCATCCACTCCTTCGTCCAACAAGCATTTCCCAAGTGAATACCAGGCGTCATGCGCCGCTGGTGTCTTGCAATGGTGAGCAAGACGGATCAGGTCTTTGCCCTGTGAACCTTACAATCTATCAGTGGGCTTTTTAGAAGTTAATACTAATAATTGCAAATCCTGATCAATGTGGGGGAGAAAATAAATAAGCTCTAAATGCAGCTCTAAGCTGCTCTAAGCTCTAAAGTCTGCCCACCTGTGACTATGCAGGTGCTTCTTTTCACCAACTCTCTCCCTCTGCAGGGCAGCAGCCTCCTGCCTGCCCATGACCATGCTGGTACTTCTCCTCAAGGCCGCCCACCTGCAATCATGCAGGCCTCTCTCAGCAAACCTGTCCCTTTTGGGGCAGCTCTTCCTGACGGCTTGTGTCTATGCAAGTGTCTTTTACTCTCCTGTCCCTTTCTCTAACAAACCTGCTCTTTTAAATATTAAAAAAAAAAGCCCTCTAAGGTATATGATAATTAAAAGCCCACTGGGTACATAAAGAGACCCCAAGGGGAAAGCATGAGAATATGCGGGGAAGAGATTGCTCTTGGCTAAAGAAACAGTATGTACAATAGTCTCAGGCAGGACGAGCGCCCTTCAAATGCATCTCCAGTAATGGATGCCAGACTGCGCTGGATTTGCCCTAAGAAAGAAGCTGAGGGCCTCCATGGTGGCACAAGGGGTTAAGCAACACACTATGAAGCAATCCGCAGCCTCTGCAGCACAAGTTCGATCCCCAACCAGGCAGCAACCCACATGGCACAGCAGACCTTCCTGTCTCGCCTGCTGCTCCCCTCAGCAGTGTATTTCAGTCAGTCTGCCTGTTCTGTTCCCCACTCTCTCTCTGGTGATTCCTCTCACCTCTTGCAACTCTGGCCTATACCCCATCTCTTGTATGCATAAATAAAATAAAATAAAAATCTTTAAAAGGAAAGAAAAAGAAAGAAGCTAAAGCTGAAACATAGACACTACCTCTCCGCTGCCATCAGCAGAGCTTCAATATTTTCTCTTGGGTCGCCAGGAAAAGGGCTGCCTGTTCGCAATGGGTTCCCACTATAGCTTTAGGGGAAATGTCCTACATCGAGGTCCTACATCTGATCCTAGTGACCATAACCCAGCTCTAACCAGATGCCCCAATTGACCATCTGTATGTTTCCTGAGGGCCTTCAAGGAAGACAGGGCCACTCCAGTCCCTGGACCGCTGCTCCACTGAACAGGTTCCCCCAGGGGCTCCGAGAATGGACTTCTGCCTCAGGGAGAGCTGAAGGAGGGCTCCGTCCAGAGTGCTGCCCCTCTGCCATCACAAAGGGCCTGACTTGTGACCCTCAGCTCCAACTGATCATCAAATAAGGTGCCTCCTGGGGCCAGGCCCTCTCCCATAGTAACATCTCCAAGCAAAAATAGAAGAGAAGCCACAATTCAGGAAAATAGCCCCAGGAGAGAAAGAAGGTTAAGGAGGCAGAATTGAGCTTTGTTCCATCCTGATCCCTACTTCTTGCTTCCAGACAATGACTCTGTACTTAGGTCCTGATATTGAAACTAGCACCTTTTGCACCATCCGGTGAATTCAGTGACTGATCTGTACTCACCAAGGGACAGAAAATAACATGAGTTTAAGCACCTGCCATGTTTCTTATACCCAGTACTGAGTTGTGCCCATGTGCAATGTGGCAGCCGAGACTCAGACAGGTTAGGAGCAGCCACCGCTGCCATCTCTCAAGTGTGTGCCCAGGCAAGGCATGTCTGTGCACATCTCACCTCACTAAGTCATTCCACCTCCCCAACGACACCATTTTTATGGCAACTTTAGCTGAAGAAACCGAGGATTCCAATGTCAGGTGATTCTCCCCAAATTGCAGAACTGAGAATTGTTGGTAACTGGGGCCTAGAATCAATTCCCAGTCAGTCTGATCTTGAAGTGTCCGCCCTGTCTGGCCTCCAGGCCATTGTGGGCCTTTGGTCCCTCTGACTCTCCCTGGGGTGCTCCTGCAGGGCTGTTTCCATTCCATCAGGAAGGCAAAGTCCACTTCAGACCAGCACTAGTCCCCACAGCCCACGAACAGCTGTGCTCCTCGAACAGCTCTGACTCAAGCTGGCCTCCCAGGGCTGAGGGGATGGATTATCCAGAGACTGAAGAACTCCATGATACCCCTCTTCCAAGGAACACCCAATCCTCTGAGTTTCAGGGAACTGTTGGATTCAGTCAAGCTCTCCAGGCCATCTCTCTATCACCAGAGCTTGGGGGGAGGCCATAGGATTCACTTGCCCATTTTGCTGTAGAATGCCTTCTAGGTCCAGACATGCCCCCCTCATTCTCATGCAGTGGCCATTGCTGCCAACACAGCAATTATTAACACCACCATCTAAGTGCCTATTCCTTTGGGTGCACATTTATTTGAACTATGGTCTGAATCACCTGGGATGTGTTAGGAAGATTAAATTGAGGATTCCAGTGAGTCATTTATAAATGTTTCCAGGGAATGGCAAGAAATTGGAGGACTATTTCCCACCAAAGAACGGAGCCCTGGCGAGTTGCCCAGAAGATACGTCCCATCTCTGGCTCTGCGAGCAGACTCTGCAATGCATCTTCATCAGAGTGAGATACATCAGGAGACTCCTCTTTCTCCAGGGAGAAATCTAGCCTGGGGCCAAGAAGCAGAGATGGGCGTACAGCAATAGTGAAAGGTGGTTTGGAATATACATGCTTTGATTTATTTGTTTTATTATTTGCCATCATTTGTAAATGGAGAGATTTTCTATAAAACTTAGGAATTTGTCTTATATTTAAAATTTGGTCCTTCCTATCTGGAAACAACCAATGGATTTTTTATCAGTGACTTCTCCCCACCCCAAATCCTTTTTTAGTCATTACATGTCTTTTTCAAATCAATGCAGGACTCAAATCTCCTTGTTTTCTTATCCCACATGACCTCTTCTGCATCTCTATCGTTCCTACTGGCTCTGGTGAATCCAGGCAGCAGTGACTCCTAACACTGCTACGTGACCTCGAGAAGATTCCTTGACCTCTCTTGGCCTCGGTTTCTTCTCCCAGAGTAAGCATTGAACTTTATAGTTTCTTGAGTTCCCTCCAGCCAAAACTTTCAATAATCAACTTGTATGCTTTCTCAATTTTTAATAAATGTGGATATCAGCAAACTGATTGCTCCCAGTTGGCCTGGGGTGCTGCTGACCCCAGCGACTAGAACCAGCTATAAAGTCACCTTGACTATTGTCTCTCAAGTACACAGCACTTGTAGATCTTCAAATTATAGAACTAGAAGAACCCTTGAGAGAAATGTGTCCCCACCCCTTGTTTTATATAGTAGGAAAATTATAAAGTGAGTTTTCCAATGAACAAGGCCAGGGAGTGAGAGTACTCACCCAGAGCCTGCACATGGCTGCTGACCATTAGCTATTTGTTGAGTGGATGAATGAAAGACAAAGTCCTAGTCCAGGGCTCTGTGCTGTCCCCAAATATGTGCTATTCCAGACAGGCCCAGTGCTGGCTTGGTGTCTCCAACCCTAAATTTTCTAACAAAATTAGTTTTCACTCAGGTTCCATATCCATAAGACATGGATATAGAGCCAGGTGAGAGACAGGGATAGAAGCACAAACACAGATGAACCCCAGAACTTATGAAAGGACACAATTTGCAAAACAAATTTCATGAGGATTGTTATCCACATGAGTCCTAGTTTCTGAAACTGGAGGAAGAGGGTATTCTAATAGGAAACTGTGGTTCTCCTGCCAGGAGTACATGAACAAGGGAAGCTGGAAGAGTCAGGATTTTCCAGGACCCTTGAAATGAGAGCAACAGTGGGATTGCAGACAGCAGGTTGGGTGAACCACGCTATCTGAGAAGGATTTTGGCCCACATCTGTTGGGTACAAGGACTGTGACTTCAGGAACACCAGAATCCATCAGATTCTCTGGCCAAAGATCTGAGTATCAAAATGTGAGACCCCCAATCTGTGGAACTTGTTTGGACTCCATTCTGGAAGGCCAATGCCTCCTGACCTGACCCCAATTCAAATTGCTTCTTGGAGGTCTTCTTGCAGGGTAGCAGGAGGGTTGACGATAAAGCTCTTCAAAGCTCGACTCAGGCACCCTAACGGTGTATTCAGCCAATGTGACCCTCCAGCAGGAAGGGGGGGCAGTGAGTGGGGAGCACTTCTTGGCTCTTCCTGAAGACAACTGAGACATGGCCCCCTCCCAGGACCCCACTCACTGATGAGAGCCGTCACGATCTCCTCCATGCTCTCCAGGAAGCTGCTGAGGTGCTGGGTGAAGGGCAGGTGTGGAGAGGTGACCTGAGCAACCACGGCTGCAGCCTCTGCCCGTGTGGCCTCTGAATGGCTGTCATCTGTCAGGATGTCGGCCAAGCACAGGACACCATCCACCTGCAGATGGAGAGAGGGTTCAGCTCGTGCATCCTGGGGAACAGCATTACTCATAATAGAAATGAAATAGAGGTTCAAGCCCTTCTATAAGGCCCAACCCTGGATTCCCAGGACAGCCCAGGATGCAGTGTGGAATGTGGACAAGGCCCCTTGAATGGTCCAGTCTGGAGCCTGAGGCCTATCCCTTGAGCCAAGGAGAGATCAGTGACCTCCCACAGGTTTCCTAATAGCAGATATCAAGCCAAGCATCGCCCTGGTCAGCCACCATAGCTCACTGCAATGGGAAGAACGGTCACCTAGAAATCTCACACCCCAGATCTCCCACCCTGGCCCCCTCTTTCGTGCCTTCTACTTGACTTGACATTAGTCACTTAGCCTCTCTGAGACTGTCTCTTCACGCAATGATAGGGTGTTGGGGGGTTGAAGAGATGAAGTGGGTGATGCCCAAGAGCAAGTGAGTGAGTGGGGAGCACTTCAAGAGAAGCTCCATGAATGCTGTCACCACCTCCTTTCCTGAGCTGCAGGCTGAGCTCAATGCCTTTGCCCCCCATTTGTCCTCTACGCTCCTTCCCGGGGAGAGACGGCTGCTTCCCTGGAGGGTTTGCTCTCTCTGACCCATGAGAAAGGAACAATCTTGGAGTGGTGGGACACCAATGCCAAAGAATTCAGCTTCCCGGATCTATCCCAGGCTGACCGCCCCTCGAATAAGAAGAGTAGCCCCTGATCACCGAGTGCTTCTGAGGGGCTGGCTACCCCATTCAGCACAGCATGTGTATGGGAGCACTGAATCCTCGCTACCCGAGGGGAGGATTATCACCCCCCACATTGCACAGGCAAAGAAATTGAGATGGAAAGGTTCATTGATGTGCCCACACCACAAACTTTACAAGTAGTTTGGGATTTGAACCCAAATAGTCCAGCTTCGAGTCCATGGCTTGGAAAAGACATCATACTCCACCTGAGGAGGGACATCTGACTTCCTCCTCCATCCAAGGTCAGTAGCTGAGACTTGCAAGAGAAAAAGGGAGCTGTGAATTGTCAGGGGTAGCCCAGTGGTGCTCCTCAGCTGCCCCAGGAACCGATGGGCCTGAGGACCTGCTGCCAAATAGTCCTTGGCATGGAGTGGGGCTGGGGGTGCAGGGATGAGGCAGAGAAAGAACCAAAGTGAGGTGAAGTGAGGAGAAGCCTGAACTAAGGCTCCCTGCACCTGCCGCAGGCCCCACACCCTTCCTTCCTGCCACTCAGCCCCAGCAGGCCCCTGAGGTTGCCTTCTGTTTGACTAATCACCACCACCAAGCTGTGGGCCTCCCTTAAATGGCTCCTGGGAGCTGTAAGGTCCATTAGCTGTGAGAGCCTTTGGCAATCGCAGACTCAAACAAGACAAATGTGGAAACAGGAGCCCGGGGAACTGTCCGCAATAAAACTCACCTGGATGTGCTTAATAAAAGAACAAACAGCAGCAAGGAGGCCTGGCAGGCCTGGCTTCACGCCAGGTGTTTGATGAACAGCCCCTTGGAGGGCGACCTCACTTGAACCAAGGAGAGAAAGGGGGCAGTTCTGGGCCCAGAAATAGGGCCAACCCTATCCCTAACCTAAGAAACCTCTGAGACCTGTCTGGCACTCACCCCCTCCCTCCTCGCCACACCATCCAAGGCTGCAACTGAGGATCTCTGTCTATGGGGGTATGTCTCAAGTATCTAGTCTCCCGAATATCATCCTGAGTTGCGTCCCTGCCCCAGCTGCTGTCGTGGCTTGCAGACACAAGCTCACAGGTGGGCCAATACGAACACACTGGGAGTGGAAAGTCATACAACATGATTTCCACTGAGGATGCTTGTAGGGTCAGGAATGACCACAGTGCAGGTTTTCTAGGATCCCATGCAGACTGGGTAAAGGAGGAGTCAGAGTCCTCAGTGGTTTTTGCAGGTCTTTTATTGGGATTTCCCGGTACACAGCAGGCAGGGGTGCTGGGAGCTGGGAGGCTGCCATGCCTCCCAGTCCCCAGCAGGTCTTCACTCTATGGGCTCTCTGGCCTTCTCTCGGCTTCTACTGGCATCCCCGTGACGCTGCCCTTAAAAAAGCCCAGTCTTAGCCCAGGTGAATCCCATCTACCTATGCCCACACTCTACTCCAGGTGCCCGCCATCAGGCATGCGTTCAGGACCTCAAGGATCCATCATCTCTCCTGATGGTGGGAGGGCAAAAAAGCCTGACATTTTTCCTTACCCTACAATGCTCTATGCTGAGGCCTCCTGGAAGCCATGTGGACTTAACAGTCTCACTGCAGGTCACCCCCAAACATGTCCAAGGTCCTCACAGCATACATCACACTGGAGGGCCATTTTTCCAAATGGGTTCTGTGGACCAGTTGCACCAAAGAGACTTCCTTCAAGCACATTTCTGGGCCCCATCCATATCTATTCCAAGGTCTCCAGGTAAGCCTGAAATCTGCCTTTCAACAAGGCCCAGCCGAGTTCATGCACCAGCTGTGAGCAGAAGATGTGATATCTCTGTCTCTCCTATTTCCTGGGGGGGCGCTGCTCAGCCTGATCTCTGAGGTTGCGCCAGGCCTGGTACATAGTAGGTGTTAAGTAAGTGGGTCATAAATGCAAGAGAATAGAACTTGACCTAAGACTTGAGCACAAGCCTGGACGAGCAGAGCAGAGGAGCAGCACTGCACACGGAGGGGCTCTCGTGAGCGCGGCCACTGCAGGGAAGGGCAGCACCGGAGACACTGAGAACGTGGCTTCTGATTCCTGACTCCAGGAAAGCAACCCCAACCCAGTCTGATGTGGACCCCAATTCCTCCTCTGCCCTTCAGTTTCCCAGGGAACAGTGTCTTGTCTGTGCAACTGCCTAACATCTTGCTTTCCTTCTGATGTGTTTTATAAGATTCAGGTCTCTTTTAGTAATTTATTAAATATGAATTATCATTCCTTCCAAAGAGTACCTGAGTTATATATTACATATTATTGATCCATGCCCATATATAATATAGAGAAAGTTCACAAACTATAAAAATGGTAAGATGAACACCTATGTGTATATATATATGTACATGCTTAACATGCAGACATTTTAACACTAAGAATAAAATGCAAAAAGCCACTGTATACCATTCTTGACCTCATACCTCTGTTTGTTCTCGCTGGAAGGGTCACTACCCTTAATTTTGTGATTATTTATCTTATTTTCTGCAGAGATGTATTGTATGTGTATATTGTTTACCTTTACAAGGTTTTCAACTTGACATAAATGGTATCATACTGTATATAACATCCTCCCCATCAGCTTTATGTTCAGAAAACACTCCCCTGCCCCCTCAGGTAGCCAAGGGTTATGTGTTTTCACTGCTGTGTGGTATTTCATTGTCTAAGTTGATTGCAACCCATATAGGCATTCCCCCGTTGATGACATTGACGTCATTTCCCAGCTCTTGCTAGAATATGCAGTGCTGCTATAAATATGCTTCTAAATGTCCTGACATGTGTGTGTCAGTTTCTCTCGAGTTCTTTCTCAATTTAGGAGTGGAGTTATTAGCTCCCAAGGTCTGCACATCTTTAATTTTACTAGTGTGGCCAAATCATTTTGTAAAACAGTTGCACCAATTTATATTTTGGGGCAGCAATATATCAACTCACTGAACTCCATATCCTGATCACCTTTGGTACTCTCAGATGCCAGGGTCTTTGTCTCTGCTGCTGCTGGTCTGCCAGCTAGCTGCCACTCACCCGGGTTCAAATCCAGAGTCATCACCACCTCAGCTATTCTACCCCACCCAGCTCATCGCAGAGGGCAGCCCTAAAGGCCCCCCCCCCCCCCCCGGCACACACACATCGGTGACTCTGGGTCTCCAGCCCCTGATCCAATTCTTGTTGCGTCAGAACATACCCTATAGGGGTATAATTTCTCCTCTGTATCTTAGTATCTGGACAATTTTGGTACCTACTTAAAGCCTTTATATATCTATAATGGTGATTGAAAATACCAGCTCCTAGGACATTGGTCTTTTTAACTGAGAGGTTGCAATGAACACTTTATGCCACAAGGTGGTGCCATCACCCCACCTCATTCCCATCTGGAGGCTGCAGTCAGCCCCAGACTGGGGCCAAGTCTCAGTCTCCTCATTCTGTCTGCCTGGTGCAGGCTCCTAGCCGGACTTACCACCATAGTTCCTTTCTCCGGTTCCTCTGGGACTGACACCCCACAGCAAAAATCAGTCCTCTGGGTTGGGGCCACAAGTTTAACTAACTGTTCAGACATTCTCAGATCATGCAGACCAGAACTAGAACTTTTAGAAGGGGAATGCTTCCTGTTTTTATTCCTGACCAGGACCAATAAGATGAATAATTGCAATTCTGCAGAAGGGGACAGAGAAGAAGTAGCATGATCCCTGCATCACTTTACAATTCAACCAGCGTTAACCCAGCACCTGCACTGTGATAGAGGCAAACAGAGACATCAATCCAGAAGAAATCAGAGATGGGGGCAAAGATAGCAGATCAACAATGAGGGGAAGAGATGGAATATGAAACAGAGGAGAGAGAGAATGAATGAAGCACTGAATCATGTGCTTAAAAGGGATTTGGAAACTTGTGTGATGCAGAGCCCAGGCCCTCAGGCTCTCTGGGACACCTCCTCCCATGGAAACTCCCTCCATCTTGGTCCTCTCTCCTTCCTGGACCTCCACAACACACTGTAGGGACACATCTCCCTAGCTAACCACTTCTTATGAGTTTCTCCTGCACCATCGCCTCCTCTGACCCCTCTCTGGTGGCTCGTTCCAAGGCTTGCTAGCGGCTCACTTTGTACCATTTCAGCCAACAGCACCCAAACTCCCAAGTGACCTCAGAACTCACAGTGATGACCTCCAGACCTAGCCCTCTAGCCCTTACCTTCTTTCCCAGTACCCACATCCACATTTCTAACCTGTTACTGAATGTCTTTATGTTAAATTCCAAAACTAATTTGGGTATTCCATGGGCAGCTCAAATTCACTTC